GCCTCTTCTTCCTAGGCCTCTTCTTCCTAGGCCTCTTCTTCCTAGGCCTCTTCTTCCTAGGCCTCCTTCTCCTCCTTCTCCTTATCCTCCTTCTCCTTCTCTTCTAAACTTTAGGTAAGGTAGCCTATAGGAATAGATAGGTAGGTAGGTAGGTAGATAGATAGGTAGGTAGGTAGGTAGATAGGTAGGTAGGTAGGAAGGTAGGTAGGTAGGAAGGTAGGTAGGTAGGAAGGTAGGAAGGTAGGTTTTATAGGGTAGTAGTAAGTAGACGTTGTAGTATAGAGAAGTGTATTTAGTATGAGAATACGTCGGGGGTGACGGATGGCGGTTGGCCGCTTTGGCCGACCGTAACGGACCGAACACCGTGCCAAGAGAACGAACATATGTTCCACTCTCTCAGCCTCTTCTTCTCCTTCTCCTTCTTCTTCACTCATCGGATCGGCCCTCGTCTGTGGCCTGACACCATTCTGCCTTCAACAGCAGCACTTTACGCTCTTTCTTGGACATCCTGCTCCTCCCCCGCGCCACTTTCTGGGACGAAGCGGTGTCCATGGTCAACAGGATCTTGACGTGGCAGTGTGCTTCGGCTGCGATATGGAGTAGTTCCTCAATGGCATGGCACATGTCCAGTCCTGTGGGGGAAGAGTACGAGGATGAGGATGAGGGGGAGGAATCGTCCTCGTCTTCCTCGTCCTCGTCCTCATCCTCGCTCCAGGCGCATTGATCCAGGCGATCTACGACAATAAAGATCTCCTCCTCGCACGAAAAAGTCGAGAAAATCTCTAGTAGCAGCGGCTGTGCTTTGAGCCAGAAAGCATCACCGTTATTCTCGTTCCATGCTGCGCTCTGCACTGCTGCTTTTAGCCTGTCGATTTTGCTGCGGAGCAGGTCGTCATGCATGGCTGAGATCTGGTAGATCAGATTCACGATGATCTGCCGGATCGTGCAACGCTTTCGCTCATTGACCGACCAGCTCGTCTGGGCCAGAAAGAAGGCAACGTTTCGGTCTTGCAGGCGAAGCTCCTCGATGGCGAGTATGGCGCCGTACGACAACCAATTCAGAGAGCCCGATGAATGATCGTCCACAAAATTACTTCCACCCGCTAAAAGAAGACAGGACTTGGAACTCGCCCACCACTTGTCGAACTCTCCCTCTCCTCTCAGCAGTTCCATCGAGATCTTCTTGGGACGGCAGTACTTGGAACGAAGAGCGCTGCCCGAAAAGAATGCACTGGCCAGGAGCGACTTGTACTTCTTCACATTGACGTTTGCCGATAGCTCTTGTACTCCGAGAATCTGCCTCAGCTCTGCAAGATGGCTGGTGTCAGAAGATTCCCTTGCGCGCCTTAACTGAGACCCTGCATGGGCTGATTCCACGCGCGTCTTTCTCACATCTACGCTGATGGCCTCGAGCTTCTGGTGCAAGGTGGTGATTCTTGTCAACATCAGAATATCACATTCGTTCCGGATCTCGCATAGGGTATTCCGAGCATCGATCAGATTGGCATTCTTTTTCTGCTCAGGCAACATTGCATCTTTGATCCTGCGGGACTTGGAACTATAGTACTCTGCGGTCTCCCGCGCCAACTTGATAATCTGGCAGAACGTCGTCATGATGAGAGCTTCGAGTCGCTCAAAGCTCACTAGATCATCCTTCATGCCTTCTTGACGGAGATTCTGCAAAGTTTGAAGTCGTGGCAAAGCCAGACCGAGCTCTGCAAACCCTTCATCCAGAGCTTGCTCTCGCTGGGTCTTATGCACAAAGATACTGAGCATTAGAGATAGAGTGCCAAAGGCCAGGCCACCACATTGCTGGTCGGCAGATTTGGCTATCTCAGCAATCCCTGAGAAGTTGTCCAAGAACTGCGAGAAGCTTGACATACTGGCTTGGAATGCCGCACAAGTTTTGCGCGAAGACAAACTCTTCCGGTCGCTCAACCACTTGATCTTGGCCAAGCCCGCCATCTCCATGGAATCTCGCGCTTGAGAGGTCAGATCAAAGCCTGGAGCCTCTCTCAACGCATCGATTTGGGACTGGAGATCGTGCTGCGTGCATTTGTATATGACCAAAGCATTCCGTCTTGCGGTTCGGCCAGCTTTGGTATCGGATGGCACATCAGCCACAGAGACCGCCCAGTCCTCTTTGTCGCATAAGAGATTATCTACCTGCGTAACAAGGCTGAAGAGTGCTTAGCCTCGGTACAGGAGTGGATTCTATGTCTCTCTTACCGTCTGGTAGACACTGGATTTGCAAACCAAAGCGGAGCCATTGCTAACGATATACCTGAACTAGGAATGTAGGCCTAGGAATTCAGCGTAGTCGGTATAACCCCAAGGATAGTATAAAGAACTGTCCTCGGAGCTAGGCTATCCTACTACACTTTACGACTCTATAGCAAATACTACCGATTCCGTATAGGTCGTTACTAGACTATTTTTGGCAAGCGAGCCGTAGAAGATACTACTACAATGTTTCCAAGTTATATGGATCTGTGCGGCTGAGAATGATTAGAGCTAGATCCTCTACGACATCGCTTCAGGACGTGCATGCTGAGCTACCTCCCTACATATCGGAGCTTCCCGTCTGCACGTTCATCAGCGCCCACGCCTAGACCGTTCGGCCAGGTGTATCTGGTGTGTCTCTACTCTATATGGATCCGCATCGGTGCCGTTGTTGCCGCTCTATCATGGCTTCCAGGCGGGTTGTAGTGCAGCTGAGCACGTACTAGGAGGTAAATGCTGTCAAATATGCATGCAGGAAGCGCGCTAGCGGCTGACAACCCAAACTAGACAATCGTTGCGTCTAAAGAAATTGATGCGTGCTGATTCTTGTTTGATCTCCTCGCTGTTGGCGCATGTACGCATCTCGGAGGCGGCGATGGCGTGGGCCAGAGCTCAACTGCGAACTCGCCGATAGAGCGAAAGTCCATCCTGATGAGGGGCGCAGGCCGAGGAGGATGGGCACTTGGAATATGAGCCTCGTCTTGTGAGAGGGGGGAATCTACCGGTCATAATCGTGAGCATGCTCTTCGGCGGCGGATCGTTATTTGTATACAAGAATCTTGACAGCATCATAATCACTGCTTACCGCAACCTGTTCGATCATGGAAGTTGCCAAGGATAGCGAGGTGAGTTTCCCTTTCGGGAGTTCGGGAATTCACCAGCTCTCACTAATCACTGGCGAAAGGCGACCGTGGCCCCTAAGAAGGAGGTCCTTACCGGTGAAGGAGATCAGATCATTCTAGATGAAGCAGCTCCGTCTCTAGAAGGGACAGGAGCCCCATCCAACGAGACAGTCTCTACCAACGATGAAAAACTGCCGGCCCAGATAAGCGAAGTCCAAAAAGTCGCGTTAAAGACCAAGGGGGATCTGGAGCAACGATACATTCGTTTGCTTGAGCTTCGCATTGCGCAGCTTGAAGAGCTTGTGGATGTGTCTGACGATGAGATGCGGTCTGTCACTGCTACTGGTCAGACTGAAGAATCTGACGAGGAGGGAGACGAGGAGGAGAGGAAACCCGATCAGACGAGAGATGCGGTGACACTTCCGAGCACTGTTGAATTGGCTTTCCACTGATCATGTGCACAGGACACGAAAGCAACAAAGGACGATCGAGAAAACGCGGAGACGTCCGAAAAGGCCGCTGCGCCTCCCCGCTTGCGAGATCTCACGGCTCGTGTATGTAATAGCATGGTGAACTTTGGGCAGAATGTGCTAATGTTTCTCAAGTGGAATGATGACGATTCGGCCTACGACGACGAAGACACGGAACCGGCCAAGTCTGCTCAGGACATCAAAGCTGCCGACGACGCTACTGATACGGACAAGGCCAAGACTGGTGATGATGCCAAAGATACTGACAAGGCCAAGAGCGGGACAGATAAATTTGAGCCTACGATCTTTCGCCGTTACATGCAGGAGCACAACCCAAAAAAGGTCAGCTATCACGAGATCGAGATCACGTCGCCAGAATTGAAACGCATTTACTATGCAGCCTCTTTCACTGCCCGAGAGGAAACCACATCTGACTCCGAGCCCTTGACCTTGACCAGCCCATTTACAGACTTCCTGTGGAATTGGACCGAGTTTGAAGCAGCCTGCAAACCAGCCGAGGGCGATAGCGAGGAAAAGGCCTTGGCCAGGGAAGATCTCAAGCAGCTCCTGGGACTTGTCCGACAGACACAGACAGACACCTATTTCAAGGCACGGGACACATACTTGCCCAAAGGCGCTCTCCCATTCGAGTATCTTTGGACATTGTTTGCGCCAGGCACCAAAGTCTGTGCCAAGACCTTCTTGGACGATATGCATATACTGGAAGTTAGAAGCTGCACAACGCCCCCGACCGGAGAGATCAAAGGACCGGGCAAGGAACTCCGAGTACATTGCATAGGCCTCGACTGGGATGGCAACAATTTTGGACCTTTTGAGTACACCTTTGTGATTAAGAAGAATACCGAGCAGTCTGACAAGAAGGAAATGCAAATTGACGCTCTTGAGGTGTATCCACTGCAATACCATTCGAACCAGCAAGGCTTGCGGCAAGACCTGCTCCAGAGAGGCGAGAGATTCTGGCACATGTGTCGACCGGAAAAGTATCAGCACGATTACAAAGGATCAATCCTGACAGTGAAGCAATCCCAGGCTGCCAGAGCACAAATGCTCGCCTCCCGAGACGCAGACGATGACACCACATCCACGTTCAGCGGCATGGAGGAGACTGGTGGCTCAGGCTCCTCCAGAAAGGAGTATCTGGGACAGGTCATCGTTGATGCCTTCTCGTTCCTGCGAGCACAAGACGATGTCTCTGCATCTGGCCCGGAGCCGCCACTCGGCGAGCGCGAAGTGAAGCCCTACACGGAGTATGATTGTACTTGGTAGGTCCATTCCTTAGAAAACAGCCAGTGATGACCTTGTGCTGATCATTCATCTAGTAACGCATGCCTGCGATCTCCCATCATACGCTGGCACAAGCAATCTGCCGGCACAACATCCGCTCTCAAGAACTACACTCTCTTTGCACAGAAAGATGGCAAAAATGGGGATGTCGAGCATCGTCTGATGATGTGCCCACCCCGTGTGCTTGGCTACGCGCTCAAAGTCAAAACATGGGCGCAGTTCCGAGTGACAGCGTGTACTGAAATTTCTACAGAAGGAGATACACGAAGGAACTACTTTCAGAATCAGCTACAGCTGGAGGAAAAGTACAAGCAAATGCTCTTAGCATTTGTCAACAGCCACCAATCCTCGCGACACACGGATTCTGCTACTCGCCAGCAAGATGGAGAGAGTGCCATCCCCAAATCCCTCGACGTCATTGAAGGCAAAGGCAAAGGGCTGGCCATCTTGCTGCATGGTCCTCCCGGAGTGGGAAAGACGTTGACGGCAGAAACCATCGCCCTCGCCACCGGAAGACCTCTCCTCGTCGTCTCCGTCGCTGAGGTCGGAACCAAAGCAGCCAACGCCGAGTCGCGGCTCAACATCTTCTTCGCCATTGCCGCGCGGTGGGGTGCCATTCTCCTCATCGATGAAGCCGATGTCTTTCTCGAAGAACGTGTCCGCACCGACAATCCCGAACGCAACATGCTCGTGTCCGTCCTCTTGCGAAGTCTGGAATACTACGAAGGCATCATCTTCCTCACCACTAACCGCATCCGATCCATCGACGTCGCCGTGCAATCGCGCATGCATTTGGCCATTCAATACAAACGCCTCTCGCAGGCACAGAAAGCTGCCATTTATCGCAATCTCCTCGATAAAATCCCCGACGCCTTCATCAAGGGCGATCGCGAGATCATGTACAAGGATATTAACAAGACGCTCTGTCGTCGCAATGAGATGAATGGGAGACAGATTCGGAATATTGTCTCGGCGGCGCTGGCGCTTGCGAAGGAGCGAGGGAGGAATGGAAGCACCGGAGACGCGAGGTTGAGGATCTCGGATTTGGGAAAAGTGCATGAGGCGACGACGGATTTCTTGGGTAGTTTGAAGGATACCTTGAATAAGGCACGACAGAGGAATGAGGCTGCTGAGGAGGAGGATGATGATGATTAGGATGATTGATTGATTGATTGATTGATTGATTGATTGATTGATTGATTGATTGATTGATTGATTGATTGATTGATTGATTGATTGATTGATTGATTGATGATTACCTTGGTAGACCATGAAAATGGTTCCCAAAACGCTCCACCATGATTAGGTATTATTTGTACTCAACAATTCGAGCGTAACGTATATATCTATCTACCTAGATATCATCATCATCGCTCTATGACCAATCGCTGCAAACTCTCCACATCCCCTCCGGCGTCAATGACAGCCTGCATAGCCGCCTGACTCAGCTTTCGTCTCTTGTCCGCCGCTTCCTTTTCCCTTCGAGCTTTCGTCTTTGAGCTACCAGACGGTGCGACCCCGTTGAGAATCTTTCCCGCATCGCCGGGTGTGAAGTTCACGAAGCCGCCACCACCGGCACCCCCACCGGCACCACTTCCTCCTCCTCCTCCTCTGTCGCCCCCGTGTTGGCGAGGTGTTGTGCTTGCAGATTTTGTTCTGCGATGCTGTGATCTCCGACGAGACCCCGAAGCTTGGCGTGAGCGAGACTCGGTGGCCGGATACGTTGGGGAAGGTGAGCGGTCCAGCGAACCTCGTTGGCGATGAGGTGTCTGTGGTGGTGCATGGTTGTTCATCTGGCGAAACGAAGCACTGGGCAGTCCGTTGAGACGATGCGAGGGCGTGCTGGGTAGTCCATTGGGGAGTGATGGGACATAGTATGGACCTATCGATGGTGGAACCGAAGAATAATGGATGGCATTTCCCGGAATCGTGGTGTAATTGCCATTGGAATCACAGCTGATGCCAAGGCCGAGGTTGTGGTCGTGCGACTGCGCGTTGATGTTCATACTGCGTTCAATCCCGCTCTCGAGATTGCTGAACGGATCTTGATTGTCGAACACGGGAGCTGTGGTGGAATATGCGGCGGGCGGAGGTTCTGCAAACGTAGCTGATGTGGTAATCCATGTATCATCCATCTCAGGAGAGCTATCGAAGCCGAAGTCGAACTCATGGATTTTATTGGCGGCCAGTGACGAGCCACGCCCGGGATACAAAGGAGCAGTGTCGTTCAATGGTATCGTCTGCGTGGTATATAGAGTGGCGGGCAGAGGCGGCGCCGTCTCGAAGTATGATGGCGCTGCATGGCTGCCAGGACTCAAGAGTGGCGAATGGTGTGGAGTATGAAGGCGAGCAGAGTTCTGAAAGGTGCTGGCCAGCGGCGAGATCTGATCGTCGCTACCAGCAATGGCAGAATACGCTGGTGATCCGAAACCAGCGAATACGTTTTGTACAGATCTGGCCGAGTGCGGCGGTGAGGCCGGGAATGTGTTGATAGCTTGTTCCGACCGGAGTTCGAACTTCTTTGGACTTTGCAGCATGCGCTCTGCCCAGAGGTCCTTGGCGCGGTATCTCGAGGGGTTCATCATCTTCGACGGAGAACCATTGCGTGGACGCACAGTGGCATTGGGGTTGACTGCAGCAGTAGCAGGAGGTTTCGTGACTCCCACTGGTCGCCCGCGTGATACTCCGCGTAGATTGGACACACTGCGCTGATGTGTGGGCGTCTTGTTTCCGTTTGCAGCGTTACCACGCCCACGGGACGCTTGTCTTTGAGCAGAGTATGATTGGCCACTCGGTGATGATGGTATCGCTGGAGGTGATGGGAACCCTCCTAAGCTCAAGAAGTCGGGATGAGACTTCGCAGCCCTTAATTTCTGCTGTCGCTCGCAATCTGCAGCGTTCTGTTCCAACGCTCGTAGCTTGTTGTGCCAAAACCCCGTAGGCACCTTCGCCTTGGGCTGCTGTGCTCGAGGAGCACTCGACTCTTCCGGATCCCATGCGGGAATTGGCGAGGTTCCATCCGTCTGCGCGCTTTGTTCACTCGAGCCAGAGAAGTTGAACAATTGGGCAGAGTCGTCTGAACTGCTCCTTTCTCGCTTTTCGATGCCAAAGAAAGCGTCGTTATCATCGAGGTATTCTTCAAAGACATTGTTGCATATGCTGGACCACTCCGGTTCTTTGTTGGGTGGCCGCATATGGATCATGCTCTTATGGCTGGATATTGCCATCGCTGTGGCCGGGGATCGTGGCAAGGGCGAGCGAGAATTAATGGTAATGTATTGTAGAGATGGTCAGAGAAATCGACAGCTTTGCTGGAGCAAGATTCAATGGGGTGGCAGTGGTGTGTTGACTGTATACTCTACTTCCTGAAAGGAATTGCCGCAATGGGTGACAGTGCAACGCATCGTCGGGACATAGCTATTGTAACGCACCTCCCAGCCCTCTGACATTCCGCACGGTAGTCCAAGTGACCATCACATTGGTCGTTGCAAAGTGCGACGATATCTTTGGTGACGCCCAATAGGAGAATGGCTTTGTACAAGCTTGCATTCCATTTGGCTACCTACCGGCTGGCGGTGGAATGCATAGTGTCAGACGTTCACTGTACGTGATCCTTGTATTTGAGTTTCATCATCGCAACAGCCGGTCTCTCATCGAATGGAGGGAATAAACGAGTGAGTCTTTGATATATCTAGCTTACTGGAGACGTTTGTGCGAGACTCTCTTGCATTGGTGCTATTCAGGGCTCTGAAATGGCCGCGTGGCTTGTGGTCAACGACCGCTCCATTGTAGGCCCATTTGACATTTCTTTTGCAGACTGGCTTTGCAGCTGAGGGAGTGGAGCTGCAGATGGAGGAAGAGGAGATGCGAAGATGCGGAGTGTCCGAGGAGGAAGAAGAAGCAGAAGAGGAAGAGGAAGAGGAAGAGGAAGAGGAAGAGTTGAGGTGGACGGACATGATTTCTTGGCATGCATGACCCTTGATGTGACAGGGGCCTGTCGCGACTTCCCCGGTCCTACCTCTAGACTTTCCACGTCTCCAATTCGATCGACTTCCGCCTTCTGCCTTTCTGCTATTCCATTGCTCGCTCTTCCATCTATTCTTCCCTTCTCTTCTCTTTGGATCGGACGCTATCGCCGCCATGGCATTGCTTTTCGCCCTCAAGCTCTGTCTGGCATTTCTGCTTCCGCTCGTCTCGGCCTTGAAGTTCGAGATCCAAGCACATCTTGGCCATGAATCAGCTTCGAAAGAGCGCTGCATCCGCAACTTTGTCGCCAAAGACCAACTGGTCGTGGTCACCGCAACCATCAGTGGCAGCAAAGGCGATGGCCAGACCTTGAACATGCACGTGCGTTCACGTCCTCCCTTCCTATGAAACTGTCGTCCAGGACTAACACAACCTCTCTAGATCAAAGACGCAGTAGGAAACGACTACGCGCGCCCTCGCGACGTCGTTGGCGAGAACCGCTATGCATTTACCTCCCACGCCGACAGCGCCTTCGACGTATGCTTTGAGAACATCCTGAACCACCGCACTTCGGCCGAAGCCACACGAAATGTAGAACTCGACATCGACATAGGCGCCGATGCCAAAGACTGGTCCGCGATCCAAGCCGGCGAGAAACTGAAACCTGTCGAAGCAGAACTGCGACGAATCAGCGAAGTCGCAAAGGAGGTCGTGGATGAGTTGGAGTATTTGAGAGTAAGAGAGATGAAATTACGTGATACGAATGAGAGTACAAATGAGCGAGTCAAATGGTTCGCCATCGGAACCATGGGCATGCTATTTGCACTGGGAGTGTGGCAGATCGTGTATCTGAGGGCATATTTCCGAAGCAAACACTTGATTTAGAGAACGATGATGTGAAATGAAAATGACACTTGGCCCGATTCATCCTCGGCCAAAGGAAGTGTTGTGCAGCATGGAGTGCTCGCTTTGTATTGTACACAATTGAGACATTCACAGAGTCACGGATTGCAAAAAGACAAGCAAGCACACCTTTCATCATTCCAGCGGAAGAGTCAGTGAGGCATCTCTCTGCAAATAGCACACAGACTCGGATACTGTGACCAAAGCACAGTGTGTACAGAGCAAGTAGGTACTCGGTACCCATCCTGGAAGAGGAGGGAGCTACCTCAGGTACCTGTAGTTGACAACTGGCCATAGTCGAATCAAGTATGGTCCAAAGTTCAAGATCACAAGGCCAAGTAAGGGTAACTCCGTTTCCAATTTCAATGCTCAGGTATCAGCAGCAACATCGCAGGAGCGCAGAAAAGGTACTCTAGTGTCAGGCAGTGGGCGCTTCCCAGCCACGCTCCACAGCCACTCAGACTGCCTTGGCCTTCTTTTTCATCTTCATCACAGCGAACCACCCCAGGACCATAAACTTCCACTTCGCGCTCCGGGACTTCAGCCTCAAACGAAACGATTTCTTTGAAGGAGCCTTGCTCGCGGCTTCCGGCTCCTTTGGTGGAGGTACAAAGTCTTTCTCCTTCACGACTGTGATCTCTTTCACAACCTTTTTCTCGGGCGTGGCAACAGGCGCAGGTTCGACAGGGACCACGGCAACTGGCGTGACTCCAACTCGTTCCACGGTCGTGACAGGAGCTGCGACGACTTCCTCGGGCTTTTTCTCGGGGACGACAACTGCCTGTTCGACCTTCTTCTCTGGCTCAGCCATAGGTGCAGGTACTGGAACTGGAGTAGCTTCGACTGGGGCGATGACCACTGGTGCGGCAGGAGCTGGTTCAGCCTTTTTCTCTGTTGCCATGACAGGCGTGGGCTCAACAGGGACCACCACGACAGGTGCAGCTTCAACTTTCTCGGGGATCGCTGGGGCTGATGCTGGTTGCTGAACTACCTCCTCAACTTTCTTCTCTTTTATGATGACCGGCTCCGCGGGGACAGTTGCGACTGGCTGAACTTCGATGATCTTCTCGAAGAATTTCTCAACGACCGGTGGGGGTGGTGGTGCTGCCTCGTCCTTCTTCTCTGCGATAACGGTATGCTCGATCGGGGTTACGTCGACTGGTGTGACCCCCACTCGTTGGACGACCGCTGGGCTTGCAGGAGCTACTGGTGGTGGTGGTGGTTGGCTGACAGTTGGTGTGGATTTTGCAGCAGGCTCACTTCCTTCGATAACCTCAATTACCCTGATGACCTCTACCACTCGCTCCTTTTGGTGTTCGACGACAGGCTGTGAAGGCGCTTCAACGAGCTCAATGATCTGGCTTGAATCAGCGGCAGGCTGTGCGGGCGTTTCGACGAGTTTGATGATCTGGCTTGGTTCGACGACGGGCTGTGAAGGTGATTCGATGACTTTGACGATCTCGGTTGGTGCAACGGCAGGTTGTGGAGGTGCTTCGATAAGTGTAATGACTTCTTCTGTTGGCGCTGATGCTGAGACTTGCGAGGGTTTGACAACTTCGCTTGGAGCAGGGGCGGGCACGTCGGCCATGCGCCGTGTGTATTATGTATGTTGCTGAGAAGTCGACGTGTTGATACTGAGGTGATCGTGATGGGGTTGACCCGAGTCAGAAGAATAGATGATGTCGAGATAAAGAAGATCGTGTCATCGGAAGAACGAGAGCAACTGAGGTATCTCTATGCAATGTAGCAGGCATGGAGGAAATGGGGAAAGTGCAGGAGCGCACCTTAGTCAAGGCAGGTAGACGTTTTCCAGCTCTTGTGCAAGAAGGGATGCCCTCACCTCACGTCAAAGAAATCCTCGGGCATATATCGTGTCTGTCCGCATATCTGGTGCCATGAAGTATAAGCAGGCCGCGGAGACAATAGAAATCGAGCACACCTACCATACCTAGGTATTCGTCAGTTTATGTTTTCGTTGTCCTGTGGGAACCGCCTTCGAGCTCGCTTGGTGTGAACAGTGCAGAAAAGCAGAAGAAAGAACTGCTCACGTACCTGTACTTTACCTGGTATTAATGCTGATATGTGGTGTCCTTGTTCTCCTCAAACACCTGCTCTTTTTGATCTACCTAAGGTATACATATATCACTCTATCTGTACAACCCGACATGCCCGGCTTACTGATCAAAGTTCTTCAACTCAGGCATAAATCCCAGTCCACCGCCTTTTCGTTCACTGGTCTTCGAGAAATCCACCTTTCCATGATCAAGCACACCTCCTGCGCTTCGATCCACAACATGCTTTCGTAACATAGAGAGAATTTCGCTATTCTTCCACCTTTGAGGAACGGGTCTGTACGCAGGCTTGAAAGTTCCAACAGTCTGCGCCCATTCACCCGTACCAGGCTGGCGCACAACCGTGCCCTTTGAGTTATCAGACTTGTTCGCATCTTTTCCCTGTGCTTCAGGTGAAGCCAGACCGGGCCCAGCACCCTCTGCATATGCCATCGATGTTGGTGTAGGCTCTTGGGTCACCCAGTAGTAGATATCCCAGTCATTCTCGTCGAGGAAGAGATCATATTGTTGCAGCTGCTTCGCTGACATGGTTCCGAGGTTCTCATCTGCAAAGGTGGATAGAAGGAGGTCGGACTCTAATGTGCCTCTTTTCCGGCTTTGATCTATAGGCAGGGAAATCAGCGTCAGCAACGCGACCTTTTCGGTGTCGAGCAAGCTTACAAACGAGACGGGCGCGCATGGTGTTGATGTCTTCGCCTGTGCGACGAAGAGGTTCCACTTTGAACGAGCCGCCCTCGATTTCACCTACTTCAAGGCCTGCATTGACACCAGAGTCGGGTGCGCCCTTCTGAGTACCGCCAGTCATCCTTTCGGTGTTCTCCGGCTTGGAGTCCTTTGGCACGAAGTTACCATCCACGCTGGTGAGGAGCTCGGGTGGAGCAGCGTCTTCGCCGATGTTGGGCATCTCGTTGGCGATGGTCGAAGTGGAGTTCGTCATATGAGGGTTGAGCGGCTTCGACTTCATGATTCTGCGGTACTCGGCTGCTGTGTCGTTGCCGCGTTCGTTGATTGGCACCGCGAACCTGGTGGTGGTGGAGGAGAATGGCCTGGCGGTCGAGCGCAGGACCAGTCGGCTGGCGCGCATGACAGAACGTGCTGAGGACATTGCTGCGATGTTTGTGAGGTTGGTGGGAGGCGAGGATGCACTGAGATGCAAGAAGGCTAAGGTAGGTAGGTATTATTTCGAAGAGATTCTCACACAGCAATGGCAATGGTATCGATGGTTGACATCAGCGAATGCAGCTGGCCATCGGGCGGGAATAGCCTCTATTCCCTCCAATCACAGGGGCGCGGAGTGCAACACCGTCCCATGTGGTCCCAAGTCCCATTGCAAACCAGCTCAGCAGTCCATTGTCGACGTACCTATCATCATTGTTATGTAATTCTTGTTGCTTGCGCGTGTATAAGGAGGTAGGTGGTACAGGAACATACCTCCTCGTATGTACCGAGGCACAGGTACTTGTACACCTGGGTAGGTAGGTACATGTAGTGATCATGGGAAGACATGTTGTGATATTCTACCCGACTGCTTCCCTACCTACCTTACTACCTGTACCTACATGTCCCTACCTACCTTACCTTTACCTCCTACATTCAACCTACTGCGTCCGAGGACGTAAAGGCCGCCCTTTTGGGGCACCTCCTTTCAGAACGTTTCCCCTACCACCACGTCGCCACCTGCATGTGCTGAAATCACCGACTGTTTCTCTTAAAGTGTAGAAGCCGTTGCAGTGTCATGCACACGTGCCGTTTCAGGACGATGGAGCCTGCCACATTCACCCGTGGGCATGGCCATGCGGGGATCGAGATCGTGGCACAAATACGCCCGAGCTGTGTAAGAGATCCGAGTGTAACAGACAAATTTAGCAGGACGCGTAAGTCTTCCAAGTTCTTGCCGGTGAGGGCGGGGAGGCAGTGTGTCAGCCAGAGACTGCAACCGCTACCAACAACATCATCTTCCAGCACTGCACTTCATCAATTGTTGAGAGTCCAGTTCATCGACGTTTTCGAAGTCAGCCTTGACGACCAGCAGAACGTATCCGCCGGCTCGTCGAGACGACAAGAAGTATTCTATGATCTTATCGGAGAAACTCACAACCTTGTCCAGCGCTTTCCTCTTTCTGCCATTGCACCGGCGCCCTGGCCAATCACGCACGCCACACATCTTCCTGCCCACAACCTCCGTGTTCACACCACTTGCACGCATCCCCTTCTTCCACTGCTCCAGCTGCTTCGTCTTCTGGACGATTCCATTCGCAGCGGGCTGAATACGCTGCTGTTCTTCACGGTAACCGCACGTACAGATTGACTCGACTTTGGTCCTCCGGACCGCTACCACTCGCTTGCGTGGAGAAAGACGACGTGTGCGACACCAAATCGAGGAGGTTGCAGCTGCATCGTTCTCAACCGTCCGGACTGCAGCAACACAACCGAAACCTGTGCGAGGCCCGCTCTATTGCTCCGAGGGGACATTGAGGAGCTGCTGTATACTACTGCTGGGCCAGTAGGAAGTTTGAAGGACACGTACTCACCCACCAACCCACCCACCCGCACACACGCACACACTATGGCTTCCGATTACAGGATAAGCCTAACGGCATTGCTGCTGCTTGGCCTACGACTCACGAATGCCTTCTACATCCCCGGTAAGCTCGAAAGGTCCAGCACGCTGTTGACGAAGCAGGAGTGCTAATTGCGACAAGGGTGGTCGATCAAGTCGTATTCGGAAGGCGAAGCAATCCCATTGTTTGTGAACAAAGTGTACAGTGATAATACGCAGATACAATATGCCTACTCCGAACTGCCTTTCGTATGTGCGCCATCGGGGCGTCCGCGGCCTGGAACAGGCCTCATTTCAGGCTCGAATGTGGCATTGAATCTGGGAGAGGTATTGCGCGGCGACAGAATCATGGTGTCTGACTACGAGCTGGAAATGGGCAAGGATGAAGAGGCGCGGTATCTGTGCAGTCAGAAGGTGGATAAGTCGGGTTTGAAGAAGGCCATTGAAGTGGTGCAGAAGGGCTATGTCGCAGAATGGATCGTGGACAACCTACCCAGCGCAACGAGCTTCGTAAGCGTGGATAAGAGCAGAAAGTACTATGCTTCAGGCTTCAAGATGGGCTACGAAGAGGTCTCTCTCATGACCGGGCAACCACGATACTTTTTGAACAACCATGTCACCCTGGTGATACGCTGGCATCGCGCTCCTGGAAGAGATGGCGAGCAGGGGAAAAAAGTCATAGTGGGATTCGAGGTCTATGCCAAATCTATTGAGGCGGAAAATCGTGATGCATCCGGACTTCCCATGAACCTCCACGACACGGGAGCAGGTATGGAGTTGACCTGGGGTAATTCCACTATCAACGCAACTGCACTGAACGACCCGGCGACAACGTACCATGGCTTTGACACCATCGACGACATGCCAGATGACGCGTTCGTGACCATTCCTTACACATACTCGGTCTATTTCCGCGAAGAAGACAAGGTGGAATGGTCGAACAGATGGGATCTATACTTCGTGAATCAGGAAGACAGCAACGGGATCCATTGGCTTGCTATTATCAATTCTTTGATCATCTTTGGCGGGCTCTCCATATCTGTGGCTTATATCATCACACGTACCATTCGGGGAGACATTGCGGGATATAAAGAGCTTGGCATGGAGGAAGGAAAGCTTCGTATAGGCAAGCGCGGCAAAGGCAGCAGGTCGCCGCGTAAGATCAGCGCGGAACACGGTGGCCTCCTCGAGAAAGTCGGCAGCCCCACACCCCAGGATGATGGTGACTCGGACGACGACGACGTCCTCGACGATATTACCGGCTGGAAGCTCGTTCACGCTGATGTATTCCGCCAGCCCGCACATGGCCAGCTACTGGCGCCTTTGATCGGATCCGGTATGCAGCTCGTCTTCATGTCTGTTGGACTCCTGCTGCTCTCTTGCTTTGGCGTCCTGAATCCCTCATTCCGCGGTGGTTTCGTCTCCGTCGGCTTCGCGCTCTTCATTGTGGCCGGTGTATTCTCGGGTTACTTCTCGGCACGGGTGTACAAGACGTTTGGCGGCAACAATTTCCGACACATTGCCATCGTTACCGCGACTCTCTTCCCTGGCCTACTGTTCGCTACCACCTTCGTCCTCAACCTCTTCGTCTGGCTACAAGCCTCATCTACAGCGATTCCGTTTGGAACTTTGCTAGGTTTGGTGGCTCTCTGGCTTCTCGTACAACTACCTCTGGTCTATGTGGGCAGCTACTATGGCTTCGCCAAAGCGGGCGCGTACACACACCCGATCAAGCCAACCAAAGTCGCACGTCAGATTCCACAGCAGGCATGGTACAGCCGCCGGTTGCAGGCTATCCTGCTCGCCGGCCTCGTTCCCTTTGCCGTCATCTTCATCGAACTCATGTTTGTCTTCCGCAGCCTCTGGCAAGACAAGAGCGGCTACTACTACGTTTTCGGGTACATGGCGGTGGTGTCATCGATCCTCATTCTTGCTGTCATGGAGACGACCATTATTGCGGTATACATACAGCTCTGTTCCGAGGTTGGTACCCCATTCTCAGCTTATTGATACACAAGGTACCTAGGTACAGATTCCGTGCTAACAGACGCTATAGAACTACCACTGGTGGTGGCAATCCTTTTTCGTGGGCGGATCCTCGTCGATTTGGATCTTCCTCTACTGCGTGTACTATTACGCCAACCACCTTCACATTACGGGACTGGTCAGCACGATGCTATTCTTCAGCTATAGCTTTCTCGCTTGTGTGGTATACGGTCTCCTCACGGGCACGATTGGCTTCCTAACGGCATACGCATTTGTTCGTCGGATCTATAGCGCCATCAAGGTGGACTGAGCGCCGACGATCGACCGACCAGTCGCCTCTCTCTCTCTCTCTTTCTTTTTTTTTCCTAACCGGTACGGAAGCGCTCCCACCGGGACAGGATAACGTCGAACGAAGATGCACACGCGGCTCGAGCACCTAAGACCGCTGGGCATGGGCGATTCGGATTTCATTGCAGTGATTAGCGGGTTGCATCTGGATGCGGTGGCGTTCATGGTGCTCTTGATCAAGGGATGAGGGCTGGGTGTCCCAGGGTTTCTTGGTGGGCTGGATGGAGCGAATCCCGCTTGTAGTCGACCTAATGATAATGCGAGAGTGCGTATTGTACAATGTGGTCTCGTGAGTTTTGGTCGGACCGACTGGGGAGGATCTCAAGCTTCTTCCTTTTGCCAGGTTCAGAGCTCTCTAGGCTGCTAGGGTACCCACCTTAAGTAAGCTTTGTGGAGAGAGGTAGAGTTAAAATGTACCTCTCGCAACCGGCTCAGTCCTCCATCATCATCACGCGGCTCTCCACATACCAGACGGCGCAGGCGGATGAGTGTTGAGCACACAAACGAGAAGGAGGAGCGCTGATCTCATGTGCAGTCTGCGCTTGGACCTGCGTGGCACTCGAGCTCGGAGACATTTTCGGCGTCTTTAGAAAGGCAATTGTGCCGGTTGCTCCTGCTCTCCTCTATTGACTGCGCTGCTCTACTCCTACCTACCTACCTTACCTAACTAGGTGCCTACAAGACATCTTACCTCTTACCTGGCTGTAACGTTTCCCATTACCAGCACTCTGGCATCTCCACCGCTTCCTTCCGCGGGGAACGTCGTACCAGCGCGGGGACTCCACATGTCGAAGCACACCGTCTCGTCTCGTCGCTTCGGTGGAGCAGCGATCCATTTGCACGGTCACTGCATTCACTCTGCTTGTAGGTGAGCTACATAAACACCGGGCGGGCAGATGTCTTCAACATGCACCTGCCTTTACCCTTCCCGCTCCCGACTTCTTCTTCTTCTTCTTCTTCTTCTTTGGGCGTCGAAGCCGTTATTTGCCCTTCCACTCAATTCCACCATGATCCACTACGGCATGCCTCGTTTCGGCTGGACACAGGCCGTGCTGGCCTGGTCGTCTTTCACTCTTGCGCAGCATTCGTCTTCACCACCAGCAGATAGTCTCGGCACTACGGTCTACGAGACATCAACAACGGGCTCCATAGCGAGTGCCACTGTCTCGGGGGCTACCAGCACATATTCTATCCCATTCACAGGTACGTTTTGCTCCACGGGAGTCTGGGGACACACTGGCTGGACACTAGGTACCTAGGTACACTTCCGCTCACGCGTTGGACCGTTTGTAGTACCCGCATCTGCAGATATTGGTCCCAATATCCTCCCCAACATCAAGGACCCGAACGCCAAGCAAGCACAGGTCAGTCACCAAGTGATTTCTCCCGAATAAAGGCTAATTTACCACAGACGCTCTGTCCTGGATACAAGGCGGGGAATGTCGAGCACACGGAAAATGGATTCAAGGCCGTCTTGTCACTGGCCGGCACTCCGTGCAACGTCTACGGCACCGATATCGAAACCTTGGCATTGGAGGTAGACGTGCAAAGCGATCATAGATTGCATGTCTCGATTCAGCCCTACTACATCTCCGATAGCAACCGAACTCAATATCTTCTAAATGAGGATCTTGTGCCGTTGCCAGAAAAGGGCGAGGCAGACTCACAGGATATCGACCTCCAATTCAGCTGGAGCAACGAGCCCTCCTTCAGCTGGGCCGTGGTGAGGAAGTCAACTGGAGATGTGCTAGTTGACACTACTGGCAGCGTCCTCGTGTATGAGAACCAGTTTGTGGAGTTTGTCTCTCAATTGCCCGAAGACTACAACCTGTATGGCATGGGCGAGCAGATCCGCGGGTTGAGATTGCAGAACAACTTCACTGCAACCTTCTACGCTGCTGATATTGGGGATCCTATCGACCGAAACATTTATGGTGTACATCCATTCTACCTGGACACGCGTTACTTCGAGGTTGACGAAGAGACGGGGGCGCACACTTCTGTCGCCGGTGAAAACGCCACAGCACATGGCGACTTTGTCGGCTACAGCCATGGAGTCTTTCTGCGAAATGCTCATGGCATGGAGGCCCTGTTCCATCCCACAAACATTACTTGGCGTTCGCTTGGAGGCAGCATCGATCTGTACATCTTCGACGGCCCAACACAAGAAGCGGTAACCAAACAGTATCAGCAGGGTGCGATCGGTCTACCGGCTATGCAGCAATACTGGGCTTTTGGTTTCCATCAATGTCGATGGGGCTACAAGAATTGGTCAGAGGTGGAGGCTGTTGTGAGCAGCTACCGCGACTTCAACATTCCACTCGAGACTGTCTGGTATGGACTCTATCGCACGCCTATACACATTCTCCCTCTCTCACTTACACACTCACATTTACGCCAGAGATGTCTACTGACCTGCAATACTTTCTAGGACGGATATCGACTACATGTTCCAGTACCGGAATTTCGAGAATGACCCAAATACATTCCCATACCCAGAGGGACAAGAGTTCTTGGCCCGCCTACATGCAGCTGGACAGCATTATATACCCATCGTGGACAGCGCGATCTACATCCCGAACCCGAACAACGCGTCCGACAATTACTCCATCTACACCGACGGAAATGACAGAGGCGTCTTCCTCGGCAACCCAGATGGGAGCCAATACATCGGCTCTGTCTGGCCTGGCTATACCGTCTTTCCCGACTGGCATGCCAATCAATCCGTCGCTTGGTGGACTGACAGCATGGTGGGCCACCACAAGAATATTCCTTGGGATGGTATTTGGATCGACATGTCCGAAGTCTCGTCCTTGTGAGTTGCTCGTCGTGCTGTTTTGCTGAGCGGAAGCTAATCTGACCCAGCTGCATCGGTTCTTGTGGCACGGGAAACCTGTCTCTGAATCCCGTCCATCCACCTTTTGGTCTCCCTGGAGAGCCAGGGTCTGAGATCTTTGGATATCCTGAGGGCTTCAACTTGACCAATGCCACTGAAGCAGCAGCAGCTGCGTCTCTTTCAGCATCGCAAGACAGCTCTGTTGCCTTGGCCACGCCCACTGAAACTTCTACCACTGCATACTTCGCTGCTCCAGCCATCACCGCTGGAGTGCGGAATGTGAATACTCCGCCATACGCCATCAACAATGTGCAGGGCGATCTTGCCGTGCATGCTGTCAGCCCAAATGCGACGCACGTGGACGGCACTGAAGAGTACGACGTCCACAACCTGTTTGGTCATCAGATTCTCAATGCCACATACCAAGCTCTACTCGAGGTGTTCCCTGGAAAGCGTCCCATGATCATTGGACGTTCCACATTCGCCGGCAGTGGCAAGTGGGCTGGTCACTGGGGTGGTGACAACACATCGCTGTGGGCATACATGTACTTCAGTATCGCACAGGCTCTCAACTTTGGTCTCTTCGGCATCCCGATGTTTGGTAAGAGGCAATATATTCGGTACTTTATCGGAATTGCAAGCTAACAAATATTAAAGGCGTCGACACATGCGGCTTCAATGGCAACTCGGACGAAGAACTCTGCAATAGGTGGATGCAACTGAGCGCCTTCTTCCCGTTCTATCGAAATCACAACACACTATCGGCCAACTCGCAGGAGGCATACGTGTGGGAGTCAGTTGCTGATGCGTCTCGCAAGGCCATGGCGATTCGTTACTCGCTTTTGCCATACATGTACACACTCTTCTACCAAGCGCACACTACTGGAAGCACCGTCATGCGAGCTCTCGCTTGGGAGTTTCCCAATGACCCAACCCTAGCAGCTATTGACAACCAGTTCTTGCTTGGACCAGGCATTCTGGTCACACCAGTGCTCGGCCAAGGCATGACCTCGGCTGCTGGCGTCTTCCCAGGTATTGCGCAGGGAGAAGTCTGGTACGACTGGTATACACAGGAAGCAATCTCTGCTCAGCCTGGTGAGAATGTCACCCTTTCAGCACCTCTCGGCCATATTCCAGTCCACGTACGCGGTGGAGTCGTCTTCCCCAAGCAAGAAGCGCTCTACACTACCGCAGAGTGTCGCAACAGCTCGTGGAGCTTGCTTGCTGCTCTGAATGCAGATGGCGCAGCCACTGGAACTTTGTATGTAGACGATGGTGAAAGTGTGTCGCCGAATGCGACTCTCATCGTCGACTTCACTGCAACGAAGGGATCGCTCTATGCATCCAGGCGCGGCCTCTACAAAGATACCAACCGCCTGGCCAACGTCGCTATCCTTGGTGTGCAGAGCGAACCAGCTGATGTTCATCTCAACGGAGAAAGCTGCGCTGGGGTAGCATACAATAGCACAAGCAAGGTCCTACGTGTGACTGGTTTACAGAGTAGTACCGCAGCAGGCGCCTGGGCTGAAGATTGGACTTTGACTTGGTCTTGAGGATATTGTCAATTAGACAGTAGTCGTTGCTCGACAACGAACAATCGACAGCGAAGAATCGAGAGTAACAAATCGATAGAGAAATCAATAGCGAGCAATCCATAGCGAGTAATCCATAGCGAGCAATCGATAGCAAGAAATTGATAGCAAGAAATTGAGAGCAAGAAATAAGTACCTATACCTCTATATTATGTGGCCTGTAATCAGGTAATATGAGTCAATATTGGTTACATAGGCAAGGTGTCTATCTTGGTGTTGTATATAGAGTTGTAGGTACCTACCCCTATCTTTTCCTTCTTGATAGGTCATATGTACCTTTGACACTATGTTAATACTAATTCATTGATTGGTGCTGCTTATTACTGCTCAATTGGGCGATAGTGTAGTGTGTAGTTCAAACAACACGACTTCCCAAACCCTAGGAAACTTCCGCGGTGCGTCTATAGGCAGAGTTCTTCTTAGCATCCTAGTAGAAAGAGTTCCTTCGCGCTCCTGTCGATGTAACAAAATTCCCCGTACAGCAGGAATGTAGTGCAAGCAGTGCATTGTACACTATTGTATACACATAAAAGATAGACATGTAAGGTAAGCAAGCTCGCTAGAACTTGCGTAGGCTAGTCGATAAATAAATACATTTGAGCCTATATCAGAACGCTACAGCACCCTACAAACGCCAACTCGATAGTCTGCTAGGAGTAGTAGAGGAATAATCCTAGTAGGCGGAGAGAACTTGTACCCGCCCCCGCGTCGCCGTATCGCTATATAAGCTTCGAACGATACCTAGGTAATAACTAGGGTTGCATTTTTTTTAGTACTGTATCTATAGTAAAGGATACATCTCTGCTCTACGATATCGTATATAGCGAATATTAAGAGGGAGGACAATCTAAAAGGATACTCGGAATTAGTTAGTAGGTATAAGTTATACTTAGCGTAGTGTATAAGTTATACTCGGCGCGGATTAACGTTATTCCGGTTAATCTTACTTCCTACGAAGACTCTTCCTACAACGACTTTTCCTACGATACGATCGATATATCTTTACTAGACGAACCGATACGTATATATATACCTCTCTAATCGCTCCTACTTACTTATACTTATACTATACCGTAGTAACGTCGCAAATACGTAAGATACAGCGCAATTAAGTACTATAAACTAATTAAGTACTATAAACTACAATACGAGCGTTACGAACGATCCGAACGATAGCCTATTTATTATTAATAGTAGCGATACCGATATAGGCTCCTTACTAAACTTATCGGATCTATTTACTATATTGCTATATAGATTCCGCCGTATCCGGCCCCTATAAGAGCTAGTACTAACTATTTAAGACGACGATAATACCTATAATCCGGCGTAGAATAACACTAGTATACTTAATAGTATACTAGTACCGGATACTATAGAAGGAACCGAGCCGATTAGTCCGAAGCTATACTAAGGCAAGCGTACTTCTAACGCTATTATAATCGACGATACTACTATTAACGATATCGACAAGAATACCTCTGTCGACGACGCTCGTAATACTATAGCCTTATTGCCTAAATACCCTACTTTATAGTAGTAGCCGGCCGCCGTAGCTATCGGCAAGGGCCGTAGCGGCAAGAAAGTAAAGATATAGCTACCGTCTATCGTCTATATAGAACTGCCGGTACTACGGCTATATCCGATATAGGCTCCGTATTTACTTCTCGCCGAGAGCCGCGTACCGGCTGTCCGCGAGTTTATCGATACTATAGATCTACGCTATTACGAGTATCTACGAACCGGTAAGGTATTCTGCAATCCGGACTATTATAAGGCTAGGCTATAGGATTACGCGTTTAGTAAAGGTTTTGCTATCGTCTATACGTCTAGTAATATTAGCCGAGCGATATATAAGTGTATTTACTATAGAATTACTACTAAGAACACCGACGGCTTTAACGACTATATAGGTAACAATAGCGACGACGAATTACTTACTCTACGCGTTCGTAACGCTAGAAACGTACGGTAGAGGGGCTGCGGCTAGAACTGCCGACTAAGTTACGTACAAGTAAGGCAAGGTACGGTAATCAAACAATAGCAGCTAACTGTTAATTTACTCGACTACTCGTACGAATTAGCGCCGAATCCGTCCGTTTATACCGTTTACGAGATACGTATACCTAGTTTCGGTAAGGCAATCGCGTAGGCCGCGTAGTATCAACTTATAAACGAATTATATAGTACTACGTACCGATAGCTATTATTATATAAACTTAAGCTCAATCGTAAGCGCTACTATAACCTAGCTAAGGGTAATATCTTCCGTAGCTCCGGCGACGCCGATACGGTTATTAACGCGCTGCTTAGCATTCTCGTTACATTTAGGTTCGAGTATAAAGGCCGTTAGTCGTTTACTACTAATAAATAGACTAGTAGTACTACGCGGGTATTACTTAAGCAGCTTGTTTACTAGCAGCTATATATAGCGCGCTTTACTACGCGATTCGTACCGGACTATAGCTTCTAGATAGACGCTACGTTTAGTACCAATCGTACCGGCCTGTTACTAGGGGTATTTATAGGGATTACTAATACCGGACGGTTATTTCCGATATATTATTTACTAATGAAGTTAGAGAGTAAGGATAATTGGCTATTTATACTACTTGTCGTATTCAACAACTATCTACGTAACTGTCGGCTTAATAAAGTAATTGTCTTAGATACTAGGGCCGGCCTAATTGCGGCTATTCCGGAGTTACTATTTTAGCGCTATATTTAGCAATTCTGTTAATAGTACGTAGCTCAAAACCTTTATAAGCGTATCGATAAGGGGGCCGTACGCGTAGTACGTACTAAGGCCGCTAATAGTAAGGTACGCTAGGCTGCTATCGTAGCTACTAACGACGTACCTGCTAACGACGAACCGACTATACCGACCGAATCTACTACGTTAAGACGTATACGAGCTTGTAAACCTAGCTATACCGCCGAGTAGAAGATAGAGCTAAAAGCGCTTATATAGCTATAGCTACAAGCGGATATAGCCGAGGTAGTAGACGAGCTCGAATCCGCTATTATTAACGGACTTATAGCCGATAACGCCGAGTACTTCCGTAGTACGTACGTTACTATTAAGCAACGACTGCTTATATATTACGTTAAGCACTTACCGAACAATAGGGTACGCTTAATACAACGCGCGGAAGGTAGTAATCGCGGTATTAAGGGCTATTTACTACTGTACTTGTTACTAGAACAGTATGCCGAAGGCATTAAGTAGTACCTAGACAAGCTGTTTAATAAATTAGAGCGTCTAGAAGAAAGTATATATATTGGTTTACCGTTATAGGCCGTATTAGCTAATAACCTCGGTTACTTTGCGTATCTTAACAGCTAATATACTATATAGACAATCGATCGACTACTAGCTTTATAGTATAACGCTCTCGGTATAAAACGTACAGTAGATAAGGCTAATTATACGCGCTCGGCAGTAACGGTAGAGCTATATCTAGTATACGATTACTATACGGAATACGGGGAAGTTAAACAATATAGATTGCTATATAGCTATATACTATTACCTACGGTAATTAAGCGGAAGGCAATTGCTCGTAGTATACTATACCTCTATTACTTTACGAGCAATCGTTCCGTTTACGCTAGTAACGCCGTATAGTAGATACTAAAATAGCAGAATCAATACGACGCCGCGACGGATAGACTATAGAAAGCATTACTATAACGCGTAGACAGTTATAATCGTATATAGGCTTCTATACTACGCTAGTTAAGTTACTTACTATTACTATAGGCTACGGACTATAATACCTATATAGACAAGCTCGAAGCGTTCGAAGCCGTCTATTTAAGCGGCCTATAGGCTACTTAAAGCGACCGTTCTAAGCTAGAGGAAGTACTATTTGTAGTACCTACGAAGCCGGCTTAGTACCTACTACTACCGAGGCTACCGAAGCGGGATAATAAGACGACTAATAGGCTTATAACGAGTACGGAGGTAGCTAGTAAAGATATAGAATATAACAGCTAGGCCTAGAGGCATATAGCCCTAGAGGGCGGTTAGGTATTTGAGCCTAAGGTACGTTAGCCTAAGGTAGGACGGGTTACAGAAGTAGTACGATCCGAGTCGTCGGGCGATCGGCTACCGGGCGACTGCCCGCGCGACGTAGCGCCTACGTATACTTAGCGTAGGAGTATATTATACGACGCCGCTCTCTCCTTTCCGAAGGACAAGAATTAGTTTGTTCCTTTTCCTACGCAGTAGGAAGGACGCTCTATATATTACTATACACCCCTACTCTTATATTTCTAATTCTTCTATCCTTCTAAAGGGTAGTAATCTATAGAGGTCTATAGCCCTACGATAGCAACGCGACCGTACCGTAGCTATAGCGTAGGCGGGCCGCGTTATCGGCAAAGTAGACAAGGATGCCTAACCTTCCGAGGAGACGGTATCGGGCCCTATAAGTGCCTAGATAGACAGGAACCTAGGGGAGACTCCTTTCGAGGAGGCTCCTACCTAGCCGGAAGTCTACGTAGCCGACCCGTATACTAGACGTATACAGCTCGAGAAGGCAAATCAGCGTCTCTATATAGAGTTAGAAGTTTAGGCCCTCGAGAGGGAAAACTAATATCTATAGAAGCAAATTTAGGGCCGAGTACTAACTCTAGCTATTACAGTTACTATAGACGACAACGATGCCGAGCCCGATCTTCTCGACGGACTCGAAGAAGACCTTAGGTTAATAGACCTACGCGACGTATACAGATAGGCTACGAACCTACTACGTAGCTCGTATTCTCTATATAGGGGCTCTAAGATTCGAGAACCTAAGCTGTTTAAAGGAGATACCGATAAGGAATGTTGTAACTTTATTAGGCACCTCGAGGTTGTCTTCCTTAGCGCCCTCCGAGAATATCGAACCGACTAAGACAAGGTCCTATATAGTATTATATAGCTCGTAGGCGAAGCGTAGGAGACGTAGTACGACGAGTATTCCGACGTAATCCCTAAGGACTATACTTAGGAGGAATTTAAGGGATAGCTCTACAATACCGTCGGCGATTAGTCGAACCGTTAGATCGGCGTAATAATCGAGTATAAAAGGGTACATTAAGGCCCGGACTAGAGTATCTGTTATTTCGTAGTATAGCTTAGTTATCTAGAAGCTTAGTTTGACTATACGTAGGCGTAGCTAATACGCTACTTCCTCGCTAAGTTAAAGCCGTCGCTACGTAGGGACATTGTTAAGGGACATACTATCCCTAATACGCGAGTAGAACTCGTAAACCTAGCAAGGCGCCTAGAACAAGCAGACAACGCCCTAGTAGTCCGTACTAAGGACGAGCCCTATCGGCGCGACTATAGCGCGTAGGGCAAACGTAAGTATACCGAGAGCGACGTACCGCGAAGCCGCGACGATCGATAGGATCGAAGCAAGAGTAGGGCCCTACGCGATAGACGTACCTTATCGACTATAGCGACGTCGACGGTACGAGGGTACGAGAACCTAGAGTGTTACTCCTATAAGAAGAAGGGATATATCGCGACTAACTCCGTATACTCTAACTACGCGAGCCGCGATAAGGCAAATACAGTTCGTAGGGTTACCGTACCTAAAGAGCAAGCGTCGAAAAAAGAGAAGGCATTAGAGGAGAGTCGCAAGCTCTAGATGCCTATCTTAATAGCAATACCCCCTTGCCTATCTAGGTATACTATATCCGCGTCCTCGAAGGACAAGTCGAGACGTATAAGGGGCGTACCGCTACTACTATACTACTCGACGATGCCGCTAACATTAACGTAGTATCGTATAGCTTCGTACTAAAGTACAACCTCGCAGTCCGTAGAAACGTACTTCTACTGCCGGCAAGCTCGTTTATAGGCTAGTTAGGCTACTGCTATAGAGCGTACTATATCCGTATAACCCTCGTAGACTCCGTAGGTAACGAGCGTACGATAGGCGGCTTGTTTTATGTCTACGATACGCCGGAACCTAACCTTATCCTAGGGCGGCCGTAGCGTCGTACCTAGTAAGTAGTAGTAGATAGTACTACCGACGAATAGCGCTACGGTAGCGAGTATCTATACGTTAAGGTCTAAGAGGTACCTGATTTCTTTAAGGACCTAAAGAACTCGTCCTACGTATACGTAGTAATAGTACGTAGGACAGACGTAGGGTTAGAGCTTACGGAGTTGCCGATAGAATATCGGGACTACTACGACGTCTTGTTCCCTATAGACGAGCAGCGTAGCAAACTAGTAGACGGTATAGAGTATACGATCGACCTACGGCTAGGTACCGTTCTACCGTTTCGATCGTTGTACTACTAGTCCGGCGCTAAACTTAAGTACCTATACAAATACATTACTAACGTACTAGAACACGACTAGATTAAGACTAGTATAAGTAAAGTAGGCGCGCCGGTACTATTTGTACTAAAGAAGGATAGTTTACTACGATTGTACGTAGACTACTATAGTCTAAACGAAATTACGGTAAAAAACCGGTACCCCCTACCCCTTATAGGCGAAACGCTAGATAGGCTTATAGGAGCCGAGTAGTTTACGTACCTAGACCTAGCCGATACCTACTACCGTATTAAGATTAAGGAAAGCGACCGCTAGAAGACTGCGTTCTATACGCGCTACAGTTACTTCTAGTATAAGGTTATACCTTTCGGTCTAACTAACGCTCCGGCAACGTTCTAGGTATATATCAACCGAGCTCTAGTAGGATTGGTTAATATTACCTACGTAGTATACCTTAACGATATCCTTATCTATAGCAAGATACGCGAGCAGTATATAAAGGATGTACGCGAAGTGCTTAAGAGGCTCCGCAAATTCGTACTCTACGCGTAGCGCGCAAAATGCAAATTCTTTATAAAGGAGGTCGATTACCTCGGGTTCGTCGTAACCTCCGGTAGCGTAAAGATAGACCCTCGTAGAGTAGACGCAATCGGAGCGTAGCTAATACCGACTACCTTAATAGAGGTATAGTCCTTTCTAGGATTTGCGAATTTTTATCGTAGATTTATCTTCGAGTACTCGAGGATTGTAGTACCCTTAACGGTACTATTAAAGAGAGCCGTAAAAGGCAGGAAGCTAGGATCGATCTAGTAGGGCGTAGCCGAGGAGTATATGTTTTAAGAGATTAAGCGGCGTTTCTAGTAAGTACCCCTATTAAGGCATTTTGACCCGGCGTTACGGCTACGTATCGAAAGCGACGCCTCGGCGTTTGCTATTGTAGGTATCCTAAGCTAACTCTTCGGCTCTAAATAGTACCCTATTGCTTTCTACTCCTATAAGATAATCCCTATAGAATATAATTACGAGATATACGACTCGGAATTATTAGCGGTAGTCGAATTATTCAAAGCTTAGCGGCTATACTACGAAGGCGCCTAGTATACAGTTAAGGTACTTGTCGACTACGCTAATTTAAGAGGCTTTATAGGTATAAAGAAACTTACGGGTCGATAGGCCTGTTAGGCGACATTCCTAGCGGCTTTCGATTTTACTATTACCTACTAGGCAGGCAAGCGGAACCTAGCCGACGGTCCGTCGCGACGTAGCGATTACGTACGTAAGTCGCGTAAGGTAACTAACCTCCTCCCTATCCTACAAACTAAGCTATAGCTATAGGACGGACGTACGTTAGAAGCAGATAGCCCGAAGGTATTATATATCTATATTACTAGCGATCGCTTATACCGCGACGTTAAGAGAAGTACCGACGCTAACCTATAGTAGTACTGTACGTCGCCTATCCGTATCGCCTAAGTAGTATTAAAAGACGAATAACCGTACGCGAACGTCTCTAACTTAATTCTAATATATACCCGCGCGCTTGTCTAGGTAGAACCTAACGTACGTATAGTATACGAGCAGGCGATAAGCAACTAGAGCGTATTCGAGGACTACGTCGCCCGGGAAGGCAACTTGTAGGTAGGCGACGCGCTATATATACCTAAGGACTACGCCCTTAGAGCGTAGCTAATACGTATACACTACGACGACCTATTAGTAGGACACTTCGGGAAGGATAAGACAACGGCCTTAATCCGGAGAAAGTACTCGTAGCTAGAAATAGCTACCGAGGTAGTAGAATACGTTGCTACCTACAACGCCTATTAAAAGTCGAAGGCGCGACGCTACCGTCTATACAGCGAACTAGCTGCGCTGCCTATACTAGAAAGGCCGTTCTAAGAATTGACCTAGGACTTTATTATAGACTTGCTGCTAAGCAAGCGCGGCGACCGCGTCTACGATACGATCCTCGTAATCGTCGATAGGTATACTAAAATAGTAACCTTCGTACTAACTACAAAGAAATGTACTAGCGTAGATCTAGTAGATATCCTAGTAAACGAAATCGTACGACGGTTCGGTATACCTGCGGGCATTATAAGCGATAGAGGCTCGGTGTTTACGAGCTAGTTCTAGTTAGACTTCTATTATAAGGCGTAGGTAAAACGTAGGCTTAGTATAGCGTTCTATACGCAAACCGACGGTCAAACCGAACGGATAAACTAGATAATCGAGACGTATCTATATATCTACTACTTAGAGCAGTAGGACGATTAGGCTAGTATGCTAACGTAAGCTAAATTCGCGTATAACAATAGCGATTACGCCGTATTAAAGATGTTACTATTTAAAGTATTGTATAGTTTCAACCCGGAGCTAGCGACAAGTACGTATAACGCTTAGAGCAAGCTCGCGGAGAGGGAGGTACCGGCCGTAGTAGACGCTACGGAGAGACTAAAACGGAACTACGAAACCCTAAGTAAGCGCTAGCAACGCGCTAGTAAAGCGTAGGCGAAGTACTTCAACGCGAAGTATACTATAATAGGGTTTAAGGTAGAGGATATAGTACTGCTATCTACTAAGAACCTAAGATTGAAGGTACCTATAAAAAAGTTTGCGGATAAGTTCGTAGAGCTATTTAAGGTAATCGACATCGTAGGGAAGCAGGCGTACCGCCTAGCCCTACTAGCAGGATCGCAGATCTATAACGTCTTCTACGTCTTATATCTCGAGCTCTATAAGGGCCGCGTAGGTAACGCGTAGGAGGGAACCCTCCTACTCGCCGATAAAGAAGGACTCTACGAGGTAGAAAAGATCTTAGATACGCGCCTAAGGAAGGGTATCCGATAGTACTTAGTACGCTAGCGTAGCTAGCCCGAGGAATTTGATTAATAGGAACCTAAAGAGTATATTAGTAAGTACGCCGCCCTCGACGAGTTCGAAGCGTAGCGGAAACGTAGTAGTATAGTACGAGCGAGACGTAGGTAGAGAGATTAAGAATCAATTTGCTTTTGACCGGCTAAGCCGGGAACACTATATACAAAAACAAAAATACTAAAACCTACGCATAGCGTACTAGAAACGTAGGCTAACCGGACGCGATAAGAGGGCTAGGTACCCGTAGTACTACCGGTACTAGTAGTACTAGAAGAGGGAGCAGTAGGAGTAGAGCTAATAGGAGGAACGGTAGGACCGGTACTATTACCGGCGTCGTCGTCGTCGTCGTCGTCGTTACTGTCGCTAGGCAGGCTTATCTCCTCCTCGCCGTCCGATAGGTACGGCTCCTAGCTACCGTAATCGGGATACGTAGTCGCTACCGCGCTATCTAAGGCAGTACCGGTAGCGCCGGCTAAGCGAGCTATCTACGACAGATGTTAGCGACGCCTACGAGTAGGGTACGAAGCGATAGAACTTATCTTATACTATAGCTCAAAAATGCCCTAAAGGGTAGAGGTAGCTTTCGCTATCTCTAGATAGTCGGCTACGGCTAGGGCGCTCGACGCCGGCGCGCTAGCTATACTACTACTACTACCCTTCTTCGGCGTCTCGTAGACGCCGACGGCCTTGCCCTTATTAGAGGCAAGTACCTTCTTGCTCTCTAGAATCTTATCCCCTAGCCGCTATAAGCGCCGTATTACCTATACCGAGCGTATACCGGCTATATAAGAACGAAGCGCCGCGCGTAGGACGCGTAGGTAGCGCGCCTGCCGAAGTAGGTCTAGGTCTACTACGCGTTCGTACGCGTAGCGCCCTTTCGCGTACCTCTAGCACTTCTTCTTATAGCCGGGAGCTATTATACCGTTGTAGGCGCGCTCGGCGACGCTATTTGCGTCTACTACTACTAGATTAGGTTAGCGAAGAAACGTAGGTAAGGCGTACGCAACGCGTAGGTCTCGACGTACCCTTGAATATATACTCTATATAGCGGAGGCAAATATTGTACGCTCTAGCCGCAGCGCGACCGCGACGCGGATCGCGCTCTAGAACGGGCTTCTCGGGCGCCTTTATAGCTATCGCGCGCTTCGGAGGCATATCTCGTACGTATAGGTTACGAGGATAGTACGAAGAGCTTAGAGTTTTTCCTAAAAAAATAGTTTAGGGAAGAACTAAGGAACGAAGAAAAGACGTAGCGTAGAGGACGAAATATACTTACTCGTTGCTACTACCTGTTACTAGGCGGGCTTTCTTCTATCGTATTCTACGCTCTATTGACTTCCTCGCATTCTACTATATAGAATGCCCTAGGGTAACTACTAGGATTCCTAGTATAACGACTAGCCTCTATATAGAATACGAGCATCTCTATATACGCTCTATACGCGTTCTATATACAATACGTAGAAAACGTTACTAGGGATAGCTCTATTAGGGAGAGGAGATAATTGTAATAGCTAGGCCTAGAGGTATATAGCCCTAGAGGGCAGTTAGGTATTTGAGCCTAAGGTACGTTAGCCTAAGGCAGGACGGGTTATAGAAGCAGTACGATCCGAGTCGTCGGGCGATCGGCTACCGGGCGACCGCCTGCGCAATATAGCGCCCGCGTATGCTTAGCGTAGGGGTATATTATACGACGCCGCTCTCTCCTTTCCGAAGGACAAGAATTAGTTTGTTCCTTTTCCTACGCGGTAGGAAGGACGCTCTATACATTACTATATATCCCTACTCTTATATAGAATTAGCTAAGAAGGCTACTACCGTCGTATTACGTACCGAATTCGTAGCTTAGCAACGCGCTATTAACGTACTATAGATAGCCGAATATAACGAGACAGCCGAACGTAACGAGACAGCCGAGGTTAATACTAAGCTAGTAGTATATAGCTATAGATATAGGCGTAGGCATAGGCGTAGACGCGGCCGTAGGCGCGGTATTATATATAGTATTATATAGTAATCTAACGACTTAGCGTTAGGTAACGGTCGTACAGTTAAGAGTAAAGCGGCTAGGGGTCGTTAAACGCGTAATATAGAGCGTAAAGTAGTAGATTATACCGTCTTAAATAGTACTTCGCGTAGGTAGTTAATATATATGTATTAGAAGCAGTAAGTAATATTCAACTAGAGAAATAGTTAATCCGCGCCGAGGCTTACTAAGCTTCCGAGTGTCCTTTCAGATTGTCCTCCCCCTTAACATTCGCTCGTATATATATATAGCCTACGGCCGCCGTCGGTCTATCTTCTGTATACGTAGACATTTCGGGTTCCTTAATCGATAGAGATAACACCGGGTCTTCGTACGCTTGCTCTCTTTAGTATTTGTCTTTATTAGTCGTATAGTATAGTTGGCTAATAATTCCTAGGTACCTACCTGCCTCTCCGTCCCTACCTATCTACCTGCCTACCTGCCTCTCCGTCCCTATAGGCTACCTTACGTAAAATTCAGAAGAGAAGGACAAGAAGAAGAGGACAAGCAGAAGGAGGAGGAGGAGGAGAAGGAGAGGAGAGGAGAGGAGATAGAGATAGAGATAGAGATAGAGATAGAGATAGAGATAGAGATAGAGATAGAGATAGAGATAGAGATAGAGATAGAGATAGAGGAGATACCTACCTGCTAGGAAAAATAGAGAGGCCTACTAAGAAGCCTACTAAGAAGCCTACTAAGAAGCCTACTAACAAGAAGCCTACTAACAAGAAGCCTACTAACAAGAAGCCTACTAACAAGAAGCCTACTAACAAGAAGCTTACTAAGAAGCCTACCCTACCTACCTGCTTAGCCGGTACGGCTAGAAGAGAGCAGAGTCTTAGATTTTTAAAGCCCTAGCTAGAGATATACTAACCTTCTTTCCTTAGCTACTACGGCGAGTACACTCCGGCTAGTACCTCTATAGGTATATATAGATTTTAGTATACATTCGCCTCTTAGGGTTTCGACGACAAGGTTATCTCGTATATAGTATACTACTATACCTTACCGGTTAGACTTCGTTGCTAGGCCGTAAACTAAGGTTATAAAAGAATAATAAATTATAGCTATCTACGCGTTCCTTCTACTTGCTATCTACTTACCTTACCTCGACAATCCGATCTAAGTCTAGGTAGGATTTCGATACCGACCGATACTAACCAAAACACCGACCAAAGCTATTCTATACTAGCTATCTACTTAATATACGCTACAATAGCAATAGTCCGCTTTAAGACAGCTTTTTGTAGTCTCTTAATCCTAGCTCTATTAGGATATGCTTACGAAGGAGTCTACTAATACAAATACTCAACCGGGGCTTATTGCTACGTAACTATAATCGATATCGTTCTACTTCGCTCGAAAAGTCTAATAATTGATATAGATTCTTCCTAGCTTAGTATATACTGCTAACAACTGTCCTACCGCATACAACGGTACCAATTATAGTTAGGAGCCGCAGTGCGTTTTAGGCGCAGCTACTAGACATCGGTATAAGTAGGTTGACTGCCGCTTGCGACAGATCCGATATAAGGTTAACAAAGAGTATAGCTGCAAATGCGGCGCATACAAGGACAAGTGTACCGCGTAGACAACGACATATAACTAAATGGCTACTAGGGAGCTACTCTATTCAGTTAGAATGCTTGCAAAAATCAATCTCCTAAAGCCGTACGGGAAAGTTGCGACGCAATGTTACGGTCCAAACAAGGCAGTAACAGGAAGAGAACGGATTTGGTCCTGTCGTTCATATTTCTTACACCGATGTGGTTCCCTTGCGGGTCTATAGGAGAGTAGCTACTTGCTCGCTAAAGAGAAACCGTAGCTGGAGCCCGGATGAAAAGCTCCTCTACCTTACCTTTGTTGTCCGTCTTCTACGCGAGGGAAATCCTCGAACCGTAAGCTGTATCTCCTACAGCCCGGGCGGCGTTAGTCGTCGCCGTCGCGCTCCTCCCTCCCTCCTCGCCGGCCTCGTTTCCTCTACATTTCCTGCGCTAGGCTGACTCGCTATGCATAGCTATCGTGTCGAGCATTGTACTATACTCGAGCCTGTTCCGCCGCCTGCTGTCGTGCCTAGTTGATAATTGCACTCGTCGTAGTAGCCGCCGTCGTCTTCTTGCCGTACTCTCGTACGCTTCATTCAAGGAAGATATCTAGTAGCTCCGTCCCCGTTTCGTGTTCCAGTCCTGCGGTCGCTATGGTCCAGTTCACTCCCGCGATCTAGGCCACTTGAAGAGGATGAGGTTGGGTGGTATGCTCTGTTCAGACATTCCTGGAATAACACCGCAAGTGGCCGGGCTAGGATACCTTTACATTCGCGGAGAAAACGATTCGGGGTGCCATCCGGGCCAGGCGCTTTGTCGGGCGGGAGGTGTTTCAATGCTGGAGCTCTGGTAGGTATACGTAGCCCGTGATGTCGTTCAGGGAGACCGGAAGAGGATCTGCGAGCGCGCTTGCTTCCGCCTCGTTTGACGTGTGCTGGCCTCCGTTGCGGTTGATGATTAGGGCAGTGAGGGCGGAGTGTGCGCCGATGTCCGAGGCCACTTGGCTAGCCGCCATATGGTGTCTCGGGCTCTGCTGTCAGTTGCGCCGCGGTTTCGCGCTATAGCATCTTCGTGTGCTTCCTGTCTTCTTTGCGTTCTTCGCTCTCTGGCAGTCCCGCAGGTCGCCCTTGCTTTTGCTTGCGTTCCATCGTCGTCTCGCCCTCCGGCTGGCGTCAGCTACCCTGTCGGTGCACTCTGGCGTCTATCCCGCCTTGATCCATCGCCGCGGTCTACCCAACGGGGTCGTGGCATGTGCAGTGTCGTGAATGGCTTTTTGCAGTGTACTAGTCTTCTTGTCCATCTGCTCGTTCGTGTCTGTTTCCCGGGGATAGATATAGTCGATATTGTTAGGAAACAGGTAACGTTGCAGTCACGTGATACGGCTAGCGTATACATGCAGTTGCTTCAAGATACTATTATACTTTGTCTTCTTCTTTTCTTTTAGATATATATTATTACTATAAAGCCCTCTCTCCTATTACTATCCTTAGATAGACGATTAGTATTATAGGAGAGTAACGTCTATATAGAAAGCTTATAGTATTAATATAGCAAGTACGATAAGGAAGGAAGGCTAGCTATTCTAGCCGTCCTATTATAATAGTCCTATAAGTATAAGAGTATATATAATAGAGGTCCGAGGTATAAAAGATATAAACAATATATAGCTTACTATCTAAAGTATAATAACTCTACTCTTCCTTTCTAGAGGAGAGCCCTCGCTATATATATAAGCTATTCTATTATCTACTCTCTACTACTAGTACTGCCTCCTCTTAGGTAGCTACTAATAACCGGTTCTCTTAGGAACCCTCTTAATTTAGAACGTCTTCGATTAGTAGAGTATCCCTTCTATACTAGATCGCCGGAGGTCTACGAGGGCTTCCTAGCCTATATAGTACGCTCTGCCCGCCTCGCTAGGGGTTTGCTAGAGCTCCTCTACTCTAGTATATTATAGACGCCCCCTCTTAGAGCTAATATCCCTAGTAGCGATAGGTTATTAGTCCTCCGCGTATTCGCCCTACGAACGGGGGTCGACGTCTACTCCTATCTAGGTATCGCGTAGAGCTAGTATATACCTATAGAATGTCTATACCTTAGTATTAGTAAACATTATATACAAATTCCTTCTTAGGTTCGTACTATCGCAAAGCGTCGCTAAGAATATTTGCTTGTAGTTACGTCGCGAATTCTATAGGTAGTAGTCGGAAGTACGCGGTAGTATCGCTATAGAGATAGAGTATTTCAATAGGTTCGTCGCGCGCTCTACGATCTTCTTATTCCTCTTCTATTAACAACCTACTACGTACTAATACCTTTACCTACCTACTATTCTGTTAATATTACCGTATCTAGATAGCTATACTTCTACTTCTTATTCTTACTTCTTCGTAGCTCCGCTTCGTCCCTTAGTTTCTCTTGTCGGTTCCGCCGCTTTATTAGGCCCCTCTAACTAGTATAGCGTTTACCTAGAGGTATATAATAATTCCTTTTTCCGCTATATATATAAAGGATATAGTACCTAGCGACTAGGACTACGGCTAGTTAGACGTAGACTAGGATAAAACCGGGTACATCGCAATATGCCTACGATATACGAAGTCGATTGCTATAGGGCGAGTATATAATACGCCTATATATCGTATATATAATAGTTATACGAACAACAACAAAGCAGGCTATAATAGTATAGAGAGGGTAAGTATTCGTCTACTCTACTAGAGGTTCGCCTTACTAACGAGTCTGTATATAGATAGTACCGCGACTCTTAAACAAGGTAATCGCCGTCTAACGCTAAAAGGACGTATATAATAAGCTATAGAGGGAGATTACGGTTAGTTATCTAGTAGGCTCCGTAGAGAACGTACGTGCCCTCGCGGAGAGCGACGATAAATACTACCGCTAGGTAGCGCGTCTTTATCTTATAGCGCGAACCCTTAATAGAGAGATCTACGCTATCGAGGTAGCGTACTACTATATAGGGACTACTATAGGTCTGCCGACCCTTACGCCGCAATCTACCTAAGACTACTAAGGCTTGCTACTCTTAGAGCAGTTTAGGCCTTATTATAGGTACAACCTACCCTAGTAGGTATATAGGGTAGGTTGGGTATTAGCAATACCTAATAGGTGTAGGTATTTAGCTAGGTATACCTAACCTATCGGGTTAGGTACAAACCTAGTAGGTATTACGATACCTAGTAGGTATTACGTACCTATTAGGTATTGATTTTTCGTAAACAGAAAGAAAAAGCCTAGAAACCGAGTGCCCTAAGAGTAAGTTATTTGAACTAGGTATTAGAAAAGAAACTATATATAAGCCCGATATAGATAAGAGGATAAAGAGAGTAGTTAGATCGAATAAATAAATATAGAAGAATATATACGCTAGATTACAGCTTGTAATATTTTGAAACTTAAGTACTATAATTAGTAAATATAGTCGGTAGGTAAACTTTATACAAGCTTAAACTAAGCTCGCTATAATCGTCTCGTAGCATCCCGGAGGTACTCTTATATAAGCTTGAAGCTTAGGCGTACCGATCGCCTTAGCTCCTCTACCCTATCTCCCTTATTATCGCTAATTATATCTAAGTTACTAATCCGTTCTATAAGATCTTTTGTCTACTCTCGGTCTTTACTTAGGATCTCCTATAAAGTTAGAGTACTAAGAAGCGCTTAAGCAGCCTCTATAGCCTCGTAAGCGATAAGAACTCTAGTATCGTACTTATCGTCGCGGTAGCGGAAACGGGATACTATTAGTTTAGAGAATATTGATATAGAGTATTAGCGATTGAAACGACTTTAGTGTCGAGCGATACTAAAATCGCGCTTATACCTAACTCCGGCTATAGGAATATAGAGAATATCCCGCGCTATTAGTACGAGAGTAGGGTACTTAGGCTTAAGCGAAGACTATATCTTTAGTACCTCGAATAGATCCCCTTTATCTATATTAGCGTCTAGATAGTCGGTAAGCTCGTTACCCTTACGAGTACTACGTCGTTAAGTTTAAGAAGACTCTATACTCCTACTAAGAGTAAAGTCGATCTAGCCCTTATACCGACTACTTCTACTACGTAACTCGTAGGTAGAAGTGCTCGATAATAGACGATAGCTCTTCTCCTACTCTGTTCTTAGCTTACCCTCGTAATACTTATAGTAACTTTTATCCCCGAAGTTATCGCGTACCTAGAACTTCCGCTTAAGGCAGGGGGTAAGGAGGATACTAATACTATAGTAATCGCTAAATCGATCCTAGGTATCTCGATAATATTTCTTAAGCTTAGCCTAAGCAGCCTCGTATACCTAATATATATCCTTCTTCTAAGGTATCCTCTTATTCTTGAGTCGCTTTATCGCCTCCTCTAGAATGTCGAAAAGCTAGTTGTAGTATATAAGGACAAGGTAGATAGTCGGACCTTTCGTTGTTCTAATTATTGCTATCGCCGCTACGAATAGTTTCGTAAGGTCGATAAGGTACTTAACCCTTTACTACTCTTCGGAATCGATACCTATATCTTTACTTAGGTCGAGTCGATCGATATAAGATTCGATAACTCTTTGCAGTCTGCTAAAGCGATCGAGTATTAACGTTGTTAAGGACTACCTTGTCTTTACGTCTTGAACGACCCTTAGGATCCGATCTTGAACGCTATTCTACCGACGGTACTTTACAAATAGCTCCTTCTTTTAAAGTATCTCTTTCTATAGGTAGATAAACTGCTCGAACCTTTAAGAGCTCGAGTTAATAAAGACGCAAAGTTTCCGGATCTAGGGATTGAAATTAGCGAAGGGAATCTCGAGTACCGACTATAATTGCCGACTACGAGAGCCGACTATACTTTGAAAATAGGAAGGTTAATAGGTAATAGGCCGTAGAGACTAATCTTACCTTTAGAAGGAGGTAAGGTATACTATTAGCTTAAGGACGGCTAATCTGCTTACTCTATTTTCTCCTTCTCTATAATATCTGCTAATCTTTCTTGTAATTCTAGTATTCGGAAAGGTCGTTAGTCGGATAGAGCCCTAGGCGGTCGAAAAAGGCCTTTAAGGGAAGCTAGGCAGTATATACAAAGTAGGGAAATCGCTCGGGACGGCTAGCTTAATTATACTCTACGATTGCCTCCTCCTTATCCTCTTCTATCTCCGAGTCGGGACTACTCTCCGTACCTTCCTCTAAGCTCGTTACTAGCCTCCTAGCCGTTATACCGTACCTCTCTTAACAAGTATTAATCGCTAAAACACTATAGAATATTAGAAGGAAGTAGGAAGAGTAAAGCAAGTAGTCTTATATCGTATTGTATAGGGTCTTATTGTTCGAGGTATTGTCGTACGTAATTGTAGTTAATCGGCACTTAATCTCGAACTCTTATAAGATTTCGAATAGTATCTCCGTAAGGTAATTACTAGTATAACGGCTAGTAATATATAGAAAGCTAAGCATCCCTTCGTACTAGACCTAGTAGTCGTTAATCTAGTAGACCCGGATAGTAAGGAATAAGGTTTTTATACCTCTAGATTACTAGCTATTATACGCGATAGCTATCTTAAATCTACTAGTAAGATAGGTTTTAAGGGATTTAGCAGACTCTTAAACCTTAATACCGAGTATCCTACAGTATATCGAAGCGGATTTGAACTGAATTGTCTTAACCTATCCCGGGAGTAGGGCTATATAAGTCTGTTTTACTAACGGTCGTTCAAAGAACTAGAATAGTAGACTATTGTCGATAATTATCTCGAAGGATAAGTACGGGAAATCGTCCGGTATATAGCCTAGGTCCCTCGTCTATCGCGGATTGCTTATAGTCTAGAGATGAAGTTTTAGTATAGTTACTTAGACGTAGTCGGTAGATATAGTCGGTAGGCATAGTCGGTAGGTATAGTTAGCAGGTCTGGTCGTCGGTAGTTAGTACTTACTTGTCGATACTTTGCGGTTACAAACATCTCCTTCGTAAACCCTCGCTTATCTTGTTTCTCCTAGTAGTTCGAGGAGTCTAGATACTTCTCGAT